AAAGAATCCAGACGCACTGCAGTAACCCGGAAGGAAAAGCACGTGAGGCCCGATACCTTCGCAACCAGTTAATGCAAAATGGATATCCTTATCCCTTCATAAACCGATGCCCTCCGAGAACCCAAACAGAACCAACCCTTACGATTTAGCATGCACTGTCATATATCAAGGACGTGTCGGAAGCGACCGAGCGTATTGCCACGGGACTAGGCATGGAAATCGCGCATCGTCCCAAGGTTAAATTGCGCAGCCGGGTCATGAGGATCAAGGATCGATTAAATCCCATTGAGCAGGCGGACGTAGCGTATCGCATACCATGTCTGACCTGTCCTCTAAATTACACAGGACAGACTGGACGCATGCTGGCTTCACGCATACACGAACACAAGGTGGCTGTTGAACTGGATAACGCATTATTGCAAGTGGTCGCCCACACCTACGAGACGGGTCACGAGTACAACTTCGCAGCCACGAGGATAATTGGCCACGTAAGCGGCAAGACAGGCCGAGAACTGATTGAAGCCTGGGCGTCGGATGACAACTCAGTTAACCGATGGATCGAACTGGCACCGGTATATGTTGCCCTGCGCATGCATCGCCAGACTAACGGCACTGGTGGTCCAGTCCATTCCTCCCTCCCCGTCTTCTCCGGACCTATGACAGTTAATTGACCCCTTCCCCCTATAAATGTTGCTTGGTTTCCTTGACGGTTTATTGGCCCCTTCTCCCTGTAAAAGTTGCTTGCTTTCGTTGAAGATTAATGGGGCCCTTCTCCTATAAATGTTGCTTGCTTTCGTTGCCGGCTTTGTTTGGAACGATGGACTCCCGCAAGAGTTCGAAAGCTGAGACTAATAAAGCTACGACTCCGGTGATCGAAACTTCCTCTTCTTAATCTATACACCTGCCTTGGATGCGAAATTTTGCCTCAATTTGTGACTTCTAATCGTCCAATTGCCCTCCTCTCTCCATTGGTGAAGATTCTGGAATGGCTCGTTTATCCAATCCTGACGTCCGCGGCGGACCTTTCTCGCCATCGACATTGTTTCCGGTCAGGTCATGGTAACATAACGGCGCTTTTCGTGCTCAGCGATGCTATTCTCGAGGGCTTTAATCAACA